CTCCATTAAAGACTGGAAGAATGATAGAATAACAATATTTATCATTGTTGTTAGAACCCATTTTGTGTTTCTAAAAAGTTGGATCTTTATCTGACACAGTTACATTTTGACATAACAAGTCAATAACAAAATTGGCGCTCTGATGCCAATTAAAGATGTGAGAAGCACAAGAAATGAGGGATTTGAATTGGGTTTCTGGTTTTGAAACAAATTCTTCCTAAGACAAAGCAAATAACACATGGACAAAAATAAATGAACACAATTATTTTTATCCTGGTTCACTATTAATGAAGCTACTCCAGCTCACCCGCCAAAGTGATTTTGACTTATCAATAAAGACTTAATCCACTATAACCAAACTGATTACAAACCATAAAGACTAGTCATTAATATCTTCTTGAAAAATCTAACTATACCCTAGTCTCTCAAGGAATCACAACTCAAAGAATAATCGTCAATGACTTCTTGAGTAATCTCGCTAACACTTAGTCATTCAAGGAATAATTAACTCACAAGTTGAAATATAAAGGTTGTGTTTACAAAGAATGCTTCTTAACAAGCAGACTACACAAGTTGGAATACAAACATAAACACAATAGTGTTCTTAGCAAGTTAACGGACAAAAATTCCTTGCTTTACAACTTTTCTCAAGATATGAAATATTTACGTTTAAGCTCTCTCTCTTAGTAAAATTGTGATGGTAAAAAGTTGTTCTTCATTCTTCAAAGTCATCCTTATATAATCAAAGAAAGATCTGTTGGAGGGTAGAATATGAATACTTAATTCCAACTGTTTTGTCCATAACTGTCAGTGAGGGAGTGGTAGATAACATAGTACCATAATACAGTCCTTGTGCCACCATATTAGGGTAGTGGGAACAATTATACCTTGTACTATTCTCTCACGTAAACCAATTTTGATCTAATCTTATAATCTTCAGAGGCTTCTGATGGTTAATGGTGAAGCATGCTTAGAAGGACCAAAACTAGAGTCTTCAAAACCTAAGTCTTCAGAGTCTTCAAAACTCGTTCATCAAAAACCTTGTCTTTAGAGTCTCCAACACTTGGTCTTCAGAATCTTTGTCTTTAGAATCTTCGAAACTTGTTCTTCCAGAACATTGTCTTCAGAATCTTCAGAACTTGAACGTACAAAATATTAAAGCTTGAGAAGTCTTTAAAATCTCTTCCAATAGAGCCACAATCAGAATCTCTATCACTGACATTCATCATAATCGTTGTTATAGAAGCATTATAGAACTTGACTTGATCTTCGTAACATGAACTTGTAACTCTCTAGAGCAGAGTGAGTTGATTCCATAAACCGATGACATCACATGTCATCTTATCAGAGTCAGAACCTTATCTTAACCTAGAGCCTAGATTCTCCATAGGTTCAGAGTCCAGAACAAACATTATCCAGAGTATTTTATATCTAGTGTTTGGCCTGTTCAGAGTCTGCACACTTAACGCACTGTTAGAGTACAAAATTGTTCTCTAAACATATAATGCTTTGTTATCATCAAAACTCAAGGATAGTTGCAAAATCAAACTTGTTCCAACATCCAATTCTTTTTGTTAAATTCTGGAAGTTTTGTGTTCAAACTACCGTTTCCTCCGTCCATCTCCGATCTTGTGCAATTCACTCAATTCTCACTAACACTCGCGTTTCCCAATCTCGCAGAATCAAGAAATGTGATTCTCTCTGATTTCGATCTTCAATTCAATGTGAATTTGAAATACGAAATCAATCACTCACCTCACACACACTTGTGTTTCCCTATATCAGAACTGAAACTCTTGATACCAATTTGTTGGAGTTAACACACAAATTTTATTGATGTACAAGAATGAAAGAAGATTTATGTAACTAATTTTCAATCTCAAAATCTCAAATCAGAATTCTATTACAAATACATTAACTATAAATTTATATACTAACACCCAAATTCAAATTAAAGTCAAATATAAATTTGAATTATAACTAATAATTAAAATGTCACTAATACTACTTTTATTCTCTAAGGGAATTATCTAATCACTTAGAGAAATTGGTTTTCTCAAAACTTCATAACTCTTTGATTTTGTTCACTAGACATATTATTTCCCCACCTAGCAAATAACCTTGTCATGTTTCCATACAATTGCTTTTGTTTAGTTTCACCATGATACCTATTTTGCGGACCATAATCCACTCCAATTGAAACATGTTGCGGTCATTGCAGTCAAGAGATCAAGGAACCACTAGATTACTTTTGCATTTATTTTTTGACCGTTAAATGTATTTATCTTATAAAATATTAAAGGATTATTAGTCATTTATCTTTACAATATATGTGAGTTTTAATTTATTCTTTTAAATTTTCTTTTGATACATCATTTAAAATGTTAAAATTCTAAATTTTTTATTCTTTTGGTGCAAATATTACTTTCTAAAATATTTTTTTTATTTATCTCATTCATGTTTACACAATTAGGGATTATGAGGGATAATCAATTTTTTTTTTAAAGAGATAAATAAAAACTCATCTATATTACAAAGGATAAATAACTATTAATTAAATGTTAAAGAAACATTTGTGGAGAGAAATAGAGAAGAAGATTTAATTTTCTTATTTATCCGTCTAAGCAATTTTTTTACAGAAAACACTTTTAAATTTAAATATAATTTTTATATCAAAGTTTTTTGTTAAATCCACTCATAGTCAATTTACATTAAATTCATTGTTAAATAAATCTATTTTACAAAATTTATCCGAACATATTTTTAAAATCAATTCTAAAAACAAAAACAACAACTTATAACTTTAAATAAAATAAATCTTAAAAAGTAAAATTAATTCAGATTTTAAAAAATCAAGCACTATAAAAATCAATTGTACACTTTTAAATTAATATTTATCTTTTTTGAAAAGAGATTAATTAGGATGTATTATCATTGTAAATTCTTTTAACTAGTAGTATATCTCAACTATTCATAATCAAAAGTGATAATATAATTAAAAACTTATGAAATAATTTTACATTGTCATTCAATAAAAAACAAATAATTTGTCATGTTATTAAAAAAATTTAAAATAAAATAGTGATGTAATTGAATAGTATATAATCATGATTGATTGAGAGTATAAACTTATTTAATACTGTCAGTGCATCATCTATTTTCTCATCAATTAAATTCTTTAAAAAATATAACCAAAATATTGGCATAATTTTTAGAATTTAATTGGAATACATTTATAGCGTGGATAAGTTTTACACCATCAATGAATCGTATTCATTAAAGTTTTATAAATATTTGACTTTTTCTTTTATCACATAACAAGTATTATTTGTGAATGATTGTGATGCACTGACCGTGTAAAATATTTTACACTGATTGTGCAACAATTATTCCATCTGTTCTAAAACAAGTGTTCAAATCAGTTAGGTTTGCATGGGTGTTATGTGTGGAAAAATTGTTTTATGGCCCAAGATTCAAGTGCGAATGACAACAATAGGCCTCAGTATTAGACCGTTTGACAACCTCCCTGAGCAGTATGTTGAAATGTAATGTCGATGCAGATTTCAATGACCACTTGAAAACAACTAATAGAGGTTGATATGAAAGGAACTGCTTTGGCGAGTTTGTGGTGGCAAGAACATCGTGGGATAACGTGTGTTATTCTATTGTGGAAGCAGAGACGTTGGTTTTGAAGGAAGTGATTCGAGCAGCAATCCATTTGAATTTGCATCGTATTATTTTTGAAAGTGACTCCCAACTGGTGGTCCAAGCTTTGAAGGCTAATTCCTACGGTAATTTAGAATATAATTTGATCATCTCTAGTATTCATAATCTTTTAGTTTCTCGAAATAACTTTGGGGTCAAGTTTGTAAAGTGTCAAACAAATTGTGTAACTTATAATTTAGTTAGGACGACCAATTCTTGATCTCGATGTATGGTTCTTAATTTGAATCCCCCTTAAATTGAATAATTTTTGGTTAATGCTATCAATTGAGTTTTCTTTTGTAAAAAAAAAAATAGTCTTAAAATAATAGTTTATTCATTTTTTCAATGTAATATTAATTAATTTTTATCAACTTTATCTCTTGTCTATACTCTTTCCAAATTATGACAATCTATAACAACAAATAATAATCAAAACTAATTTTATAAATATATTACCTTTATGGACTCAATGATATATATATTTTTTTAATTTATGTGTAACAATGATAAATAATTTTTTACCACACTAATTAAATCTCACACGGTTCAATAAACAAACTGACAAATCACTTTTAACCTTCTATAACAGCCATGGTCCAGAACCAGAATATTCCATGCATGAACATGAAAATACCATCAACTCCTAAAAATTTTCAAGAAAAATAATTCACAAGAAACACAACAAAAATAACGACAAAATATAATTTTACTATTTTCTCAAATTTCTTTTTTCATCAAAAGCACTTTATCATGACGTTGACAAAACAATTAACTAATTAATTAAAAAAAAAGTAAAAGCACTTTTTAAGTCACCTCCACCTTCTGAGGAAGGACATCTCAGCAATTACCGTCACTTCCACCATCGGAGGAAGGGCATCTCAGTAATTTCAATAAATATTTTGCCGAGGAAAATCTGCCACGTGTCTTACTCTGCATCTCTCTATCTCTTGGTAATAACGCCACTGAATTTCATTTCTTCTTTTTTATTTTTATGGTCTTCATATTTTTTATTTTGATTATTATAAATTTATTTATTTTATATTATATTATATTATATTCCCAAAAAAAAACAAAAAAAGAACGTGAGAAATAAAATAATAATAAAAAAAAATAGTTGTAGGTAGAAACTACCGAAATATATAGTTTTTCTGTGCTTTCTCTTTTGCTTATCCTCTTTCTTCTTCTTTCACAGAAGAGAAGAGAAAAACAGAGTAGCACTAAGAGACGACGTCGTTTTGTGCATTTTCAACACTGAATTCTCTATTTAGTATCAAAGTATCATCAGCACATTACCAATGGCTATGAGCGGTTTGATTTCCAACCGCAACTTCGGTTCCTTTGTTGCCTCAGGTTCACTTTCAATTCTTACTCCTTTGCATGCATTTTCTGAATTGTGCATTTTTACCGCAAGATTTGGTTTCTTCTTACTTTTAAAGTTTTTTATTGCAATGAAATTTATGCTCATGAATTTAGTAACTATTCACTAGAAATGGAAACAAACACATGCATTTAATTTAAGTATATAATTTTGTTGTCAGAATGTAAACAGATTGTAGAAATTGATATTGTAATGTGGCTAGATAGTGAAGTATGACTAACGGTTATGTTAGTTATAGTTATTATACCGAAATCCATATCTTTTGTGATTACTCAGTTAATTGTATATGTAGCACTGACAAGCTCTGAAAAAAAGGCATGTTTGTGTCCGTGTCAGTGTCGGACATCGGCACCGACAATTTAGTTTATTTATTTTTCTTCAAGTTATTACTAGTGTTGCGGTGTCAGTGTCGATGTCGTATTCGGGGTGTCTGTCATTCATGGATTATACTTGTTAAATGGTGAATTTTGTTAAGATGAAATGTCTTTAAGCTTGGATTATGTTGATAAGTGTTCATTATTGTAAAGTAAGAAAATATGAGCTATTGTTTTGTATTGACAGGGAATTCATATAGATTGCGAAAGGATGTGTCACTTCAAAGAGGGGGAATTTCTGTTTCTGGTGTATCGGTTATACGGTATGGTAATTGGAATGGGAAGGAGAGAGTTTCAAGATGCCAGCACACAATGCATTGTCGTATGGATTCCTGTTTGGAAGAGAATGTTTCGAAACAAATACAAATGTTTGATAACAAAAGGGAGCTTTTTTCTCCATTATCCCGACAGTCCAAACACTGCTCGAACTTCAAATTAAAAGCTTGTAAAAAAAGTTATTCTTACCTTTGTTCAGCCCGCTTTGGCAGTAGTAATGTTGGACAAAGGAAAGTAAATAGGTTTCGTGCTTGTTACAAGTCCGAGGATAATGACATTGAAGAACCGAAGATTGATAGGCTGCAATCAACTGAAGGGACTGGTGAAGCCATTCTTCTGGAAGGGAATCTGAATCAAATATCTCCTTGGTGGCAGCAGTTTCCTAAGCGATGGGTTATTGTACTGCTATGTTTTACAGCGTTTCTTCTGTGTAACATGGATCGCGTGAGTAACATTTTCTTTTGTTTATAGCTTCCGTTACTATGCTATTTATTTGTTCGTGTTTATCTTCGACACTATTCAATAGGTACATTTCTTTCATCATATTCAATTGATTATCACTACAGGGTGTTTGGTTACTTGAATAGAAACCATGTGTATAGTTGATCACTATTCCTAGTAGCCTAATTTGTTTCATTATTCAATCAACTAAGTGGTAGGTATTGGGAGATTTTATGAGAGAAAACGTAAGAAGGGGAGAGAGAGAATATGACAAAGTTGTTAGTAGTGGCACATGGGCTGGACAGTTAGCAACAACTAAGTGGTAATAGAATCTTGGAGTCAGTCAATAAATGATTGAGCACTCACTCAATGGTGGTACGTAGAATTTAGTGGAGATTGAGAGTACAGACCTCTCTAAGTTCCTCTATCCTATTTTATTTCCTCTACATACTTTGTTGCAGCTTTTCTGCACTTTTTCTGCTTAATTGTACAACTAGATCCCATATGAACTCTAATTATTTTCAATAAAAATCAGAACTTTTCTACTAGATTCTCTTTATTTCTGCTTGCTGTATTTAAGATATTAAGTTGATTCTATCAATTTGGTATCTAGAGCCTTAGTTTTTTTTTTGTTCTACTGTGAATGGTCGTTACAAGACGCATCATGGAGAACCGAGTAGATACCATGGAACAACAAATGAACCACTTTGAAGGAACGATGGAGCAGATTCGAGTATTGGTGATGGAGCTGCAGGCGAGACCACAAGTCACGGTGGATCAAATCTGCGAGCTGATTCAAGAGCAACCGGGTCGGGTTCACGGAAGATCCATCGAGGAAGATGAAGGAAGCGAACGCAGCACTATATCACGAGAATCCAGACACAGAAACCGCCGTTCCAATGGGAGAAACGAATCTCGTTTCATGGGAAGTAAACGAAGGTTGGAAATTCCGATCTTCAAGGGAGAGGACGCGTATGGGTGGTTGGTTCGTGTTGAGAGGTATTTTCACCTCAATGGGGTGAGGATGCGTGACAAATTAGATGCAGTAGTGCTTGCTATGGAAGACAAGGCTTTGAACTGGTATCAATGGTGGGAGGAGCAAACGCCATTGAAGACTTGGGAGGAGTTTAAGGTGGCTGTAATGAGAAGATTCCATCTGGGTTTGCTGCATAACCCGATGGGACCTCTGTTGAGCTTAAAACAAAAAGGGTATGTGGTTGAGTATATGGAGAAGTTTGAAATGTTTGTAGCCCCTTTAAGAAGGGAGGAGAGGATTATGTTGGATTTCATTTTTCTGAATGGATTAAAAGAAGAGATTCAAGCAAAAGCTCAAACTCCATGAAAGGCAAAGCTTAGCAGACTTAATGGACAAGGCCTTGTTAATTGAGGAAAAGAATGAAGTGCTCCATAAGAAGGGGAACTCTTGGAGAGATAGAGGAGGACCACTGAGAATTAGAGATCCTGCAGAAATTGGAGGATCTAAGAAGGAGGGAGAAGAAGTCCATGGTGGAGGAAATGAAAAATACAAGGGCAGAAGGTTAAACTGTTGGATACAAAACAAAATTCTGTATAAACTCTTGTATATTGCACTAGTTGAATAAATTACACACTTGGTCTTTTATAGACCCAAATAAACTTTTACAATTCTAAAACATAAACATAACTGCTACTAATAACTATTATAACTTGCTAAACTATTGTCCTTCCTACTACCATAATTAAATGCAAAGTTTATTACTAACACATTTAATGTTTATTCAACAAAACTCCTCTGTAAACTTAAATGCTTCTTCGATCCAGCATTCCTATCATCTTCTTGCCTCTGTCGAAGACTTCTTTCGATAGTGGTTTTGTGAAGATGTCCGCTGCTTGGTTTCTGCTTGCTACATGCCTTAATTCGACACTTCCCTCCTTCACATGTTCACGAATGAAGTGAAATCGAACGTCTATATGTTTGCTTCGTTCATGATTCACTGGATTCTTTGCCAATTCGATAGCTGATTTATTGTCCACTTGTATTATTGTTGGACCTCCCTGCTTTAGCTCCATCTTGCTTATCAACCTTCTGAGCCATACTGCATGACAGACGCACCAGGATGCTGCCACATATTCTGCTTCACACGTCGAAAGTGTCACTATAGGCTGCTTCTTCGATAGCCAAGTGAAAGCTGTGTTTCCCATGAAAAACACATATCCTGCAGTGCTCTTTCGATCGTCAATGTCTCCACACCAGTCACTGTCAGAATAACCCACTAACTTGTAGTCTTCTGTCTTTGAATAAAACATCCCAAGTGATACTGTTCCTTGGATGTATCTTAGAATTCGTTTCAGCGCCTTCCAATGTGTGTGTACTGGCTCCTCCATGAATCAACTCACTATGCCAACACTTAGTGAAATGTCTGGCCTTGTGCATGTGAGATATCGAAGGCTACCTATCAAGCTTCGATATTTGCTTCCTTCGACCCGTTCTCCTCCATCAAACTTTGACAGCTTTGTACCTGGCTCCATTGGCGTCGAAGTTGGATAGCAATTCTTCATTTTATATTTTTGTAAGATTTCCTTTGCATACTTTTCTTGTGATATGAAAATTCCAGCTTCTTCTTGTCGAACCTCCAGACCAAGAAAGAATCTCATCAGACCTAAGTCTGTCATTTCGAATTCGCTTGTCATGGTGCTTTTGAAGTCTTCGATCATCTGAACATCACTGCCTAGAAATATAAGATCATCTACATAGAGTGCAACAAGTAATAAATTACTTCCATTTTTCTTCACATAGAGAGCTGGTTCATAAGGACATTGCTCGAATCCATTCTCCTTGAAATATGTGTCAATACGTGTGTTCCATGCCCTAGGTGCTTGCTTCAGCCCATACAGTGCTTTCTTCAGTTTCAACACCTTCTTCTCTTCTCCAGTTCTCATATATCCAAGTGGTTGTTCGACATAGATTTCTTCTTCGAGCACACCATTCAAAAATGCTGTCTTGACATCCATTTGAAATATTGGCCATTTGAACTGAGCAGCTTGAGATATGAGTAATCGAATTGTCCCCATTCTTGCAACAGGCGCAAACACTTCGTCATAGTCAATTCCTGCCTTCTGTTTGTATCCCTTCGCAACCAGCCTTGCTTTGAATCTTTCGATTTCTCCTTGAGCATTCATCTTTTTCTTGAATACCCACTTTACACCAATGGGTTGACTACCTTTTGGTAATTCGACTAGCTCCCAAGTATTGTTGCGTTCGATTGCTCTAATTTCTTCGTCCATGGCACTTTTCCACTTCTTATCTCTTAACGCTTCTTCAACACTGATGTTTTCAGCATCTGCCAGAAGACACACAAGATGCACCTCACTTGTTGAATCATACAAATCTTGCAAACTTCTCATTTTGGGTTGTATAGGTTCATCTCCATCTTCTGTTTCTTCATGTTCTTCTGGAATACTTGTTGGTACAGCTATAGTTGTTTCTTCGACTGTGTCAGCAATCTCAGTCGAATTGTTCCAGTCCCACTTGCTTGCTTCGTTCATTCGAACGTCTCTGCTTACAATCACTTTCTTGCTTATGGGATTGAAGAGCTTGTACCCTTTCGTCTTCTCATCATATCCAATGAGTATGTACTTCTGACTTTTGTCTTCAAGCTTTGTTCTTCGTTGATCTGGTACATGTGCATAAGCTATGCTACCAAATACCTTGAGATGAGAAATTATTGGCTTCTGTCCACTCCATGCTTCTTGTGGTGTTTTGTCTTCTAACTTCGAATGTGGACATCTATTCTGAATATAAACAGCACATTGTACTGCTTCTGCCCAGAATTCTTTCGACATGTTCTTGCTTTTGAGCATTGATCGAACCATGTCAAAAATAGTTCGATTCTTCCTTTCAGCCACACCATTTTGCTGAGGTGAATATGGTGCAGTTAGGAATCTCCTTATGCCCTGTTCTTCACAGTACTTCACAAAGGCCATCGAAGTATACTCTCCTCCTCTGTCAGATCGAATTGCTTTGATGTGTCTGTCTGTTGCCTTCTCCACCATTACTTTGAATTTCTTGAACACTTCTAATGCTTCAGATTTTTCTTTCAGGAAGTAGACCCAGGTTTTTCTTGAGAAGTCATCAATGAAGGAAATGAAGTATCTTTTTCCACTGAAGGATTCTGGAGTGATTGGCCCACATATGTCAGTATGTATTAATTCGAGTATCTGTTTAGCTTGATACTCTGCCTTCTTTTGAAATGAGGTTCTTGTTTGTTTGCTGAGCACACATTCTTCACAGAATTTTCCTTCGAAGTCCATGTCTGGTAGTCCATGCACCATGTTCCTTTTTGCCAACCTTCTCAAACCAGCATGATGTAGATGACCAAAGCGCATATGCCACAGTGACGCTTTGTCTTGCACTTCGATTTGCAGACATTTCTCTCGAATGTTCCTCAGGTTCAGTTTGTACATTCGATTTCTTTCCATTTCGACACTGGCAATCAGATGTCCTGCTTTGTCCTTCAAATGCAGTGTTCGATCTTTCATCAGTATCGAAGCACCTTTTTCTGTAAGTTGTCCCAGACTTAATATGTTGGTCTTAAGATCTGGTACATAGTAAACGTCTTCGATTGATCCAATCAAGCCATCCTTCTGCAAATAACTGATTGTGCCCTTTCCTTCAACCTTCACTTTCGATGCATCTCCAAAAGACACACTACCATCTTCAATTCCCTTCATATCTTTAAACAGGTGTTTGTAACCACACATGTGATTACTTGCGCCTGAGTCAAGATACCAAACACTGTCATTGGTGTTGATTTCGTTTTGAGCCATCAGGAGAAAGCCTTCATTTGATTCAGCTTCCAAGGCTAGGTTGGTTGCCTCTTCAGTCTTCTTTTCATTTCGACAGTCTTTTGCAAGATGTCCCACTTTGTCACAGTTGTAACATTTGTAGGAGTTGCAATCCTTCGCGTAATGACCATACTTCCCACACTTGTAGCATTCGAAGTTGGAATAATTCGAACGACCACCTCTTTGACCACGTCCTCTGCCACGCC